CAGCAGCTGCCACTGGAGGTCTTCGCTTCAGTTTGCTGTGACTGTGGAAGATCTTGTCTGGCGGAAGCCCGTTTCCTGCGGGAGGGCGTTTCCTGAGGCAGGGGTTTTCCTACATCTAGACCTTCCCTGCAGAAACCATGTTCCCTTTCAATGCTTTTTCCTTTCCGGAGGCACTCCGAAACAAATTGCAGCTGTTTCCAATTCCCTGCGGCTTCCCGCCATGTGCCGTTTCCCGTATCAGCCTGGCTCCTTCCAAAGGGAGTTTCCCGCGACAGGCCTACCACCCAAAGTTCCTGCAAGCGACCAACAGCGCCTGCTCAGGGCCCTTTTGTCGTGACACACCCGCAGCGCAGCATTCAGCAAAGGTGAGCGGAGAGACGAGAGAGGCTCCCAGAGCCTTCAGGAATGTTTGCTGCTGCCCTGGGCAGCTCAGACAGGATCCTGGCCAGGAAACTCGCTGAGACCCGGCATTTCTCGGAAGGTGACCGACGCATCCCTCCAACTTGCACGACGACCTCACTTGTCCCCGGTTCAGGTCGAAGGCCCTGCAATGCCACCGCAACTGTACCTTCTCTCGACTGCCAGCATCACTCAAACCATGGTTGCAAGCCAGCCCGCGGCACGTGAAAGACAGGGAGACATCCGGGAAGAACTCCTCAGCTCCGTCTGCCTGGGTGTAAAAGCCGAAGACCCTTTCCTTTGCGAAGGTTGGCATGAGCCCTGAGCCAGAGGGTGGCCAGCCTGGCACCACGGACGAGATCGCGCTGCCTTGTTGCAGAGTGGCCGATTGCCCGCAAAATTCGCAGTCACGAAGACCCCTGGTGCCTCTTCACCGACTCCTCGACAGACTTTCGTTGCTGCTCCAACTGACGGTAGCCTGAATAGCAGCAAACAATCAAACTCAAGCCCATCACCCAGCATGCCAGATCCGTTTAGGGTCCCAGCCATCTTTGCTATGTTCGAAATCTCGAACCTGCGCATCAAGTTCAGTCAGAGGAATATTGCGATGACGGTGCACCGCAGGTGTCGGTACATGGAGTCAGCTCTCCAGACTGTTGCGAGCCCGTTCTCTCCGCATCTGTGCACCTACAGTAAGCTATACATAAGGCCTTTGCCGTAAACTTTTTTCTCTGCACATTTTTTGAAGCCACCAACTGCGCTTCGGAACCTCGCACGAGGCATGCAACGAGCACACTCGCGCCGTGGCACCATTCAGAATTCAGCCCTGCTCAGCCCGCAGCATGACGACCCGACACAAAGTGTTGCCATCCTGCGAACACAACTGCATAGAGGCCACCACAGCTCCCCGAGTTTACAGGCACCACGTCCTTGTCTTCGATACCTTGGAACTGTCTGGCAGACTTCGGCCTGGGTGCGGCCGAATGCGAACAGCAAGTGCCAGCCAGGCTTGCCGTCCAACCGAGATCTCTGCACGACGTTTTCCTGCATCTTCTCCATTGGGAACGGTGCAGTGAACAAATGTTATGCCTTCATTCAAGCTGATCTCCTCGCCGCCTCGAACGGTCGTAAGGCGCTCCGTCCTTACTACTACAGCTGCAGGAACAGCTGCCAAACAACTGTGGGCGTCGAAAGGGATGCTGACCAGGCTGGCTACACGATGAAATCGTCATCCGGACCGCTATCGGCCCTCACCTCCAAGGAAGAGCCCTCCCACTGTTTACTATTCAAACATGGACGAAGCTACCAGTAACAAAACGGCCCAGCAAGCTGCAGTTCTGGGGTCAGTTCAGGCAGGTCAGGCAACATCGGATGTCAAGGACTTCGGGAATAAACTGAATAAACAGCGGAAAGTCGGAGTACGCTTTGTCATGTTTTGTCTGTGGGTTTTTAAACGATGAGGCGCGGCGACGAGATCGTTGAAGAAAGGGGACGCTCAACCCCCATAGGCATGAAGGCTCCTTCGACTCACGCTTCTGTTTTGCACAGCCTGAGCCTGAGCTCTGCTGGCTGGAAATCGTTTCGCCGTCATGTTGTTCATCCTTCACGTTCTGCTCAGAGGCATCAAAACCACCAGGAATCCCGAATCGAGTTGCGCGAACCGCTGAAAACCGGAACACTGTGAACCCAACCGTTGTTGTAACAACCATGCAACAGAACCGAATCGAGGAGTTGCTTCGATTTGTTGGCTGCGTGTGCAATTACAACTACAAACGTTCACCAGACCCTCATGGCCACTACTTCCCGCCCCAGTTCTGCTGGGCCATGAACTGAGAGATGCTGTGGTCAGAAGGTATCATCCGCTTTCGTCCCGTGCCAGCTGCTCCGATTGACTCGACATTGCGTCTCATTTTGTGTCTTGTCTGTTCGTCAGCAGGGCCCTCCATCTTTTTGAGGACTTGCTAGTGTTCTCATGTCTTCCTGCAGCCGCCCTGGCCTTGTCGGGTGTGACGACATCGATGGGGTCACGGCCTAGCAAAAAGCTCGGATCAGCAAACTGCAGGGCAGCATTATCCAGAGCACCGCGGGTCCTGCAAGACAGTCGGCATGCTTTCAAATTGAAAAGCTGCCTGAATGGGCTGGTGCTCAGTGCGGACTCGACTTGGGTCGCTGGCCATCTGAGTCTTGAAATCATTGAACTGCCGCGATAATGCGGTTTACCACCGACCTGAGCTCGGCAGCGATTATCGCGCGATTGCGAGTCAAGCAGTCCAAGGGCAGTCCGAGGGCTGCCGCATTCTCCAGGTGAGGGTATCTGAGAACGATCAGCTCTTGGGAAACTTCGTTCATCCCATGACCAAGTCCTGAAATGGCATCCGGCATCAGGCTGCAAGAAGAGAAAGTCGACCGGAGCTGGGCCAGCGTGCTGCAGGTAGAGTCCGTGTCTTCAAACCATCCTGCAGGCCAACCCAAAATGTCAGAAAGCACTCTGAAAGCAGGTATAACATGTATCTTCATTTGCTCAATGCCAGTATCCTGCGGATTGTCTTGCGTTGCAGCAACCCTTCCACCATTTCCACCTGCACCCGATGTCAACTGCAAGCTGCCAGCAAGAACCAAACTCCAAGCCGCTGACGGAGTTAAGGAGTTCGTTGTGGCCTGCGTGCCCAAGGACACGCTGGAATCAGCAAGACGCCGAAGCTAGGGCAGCTAGGCTGTGCAAACAAGTCGCACTCAACCAATTCATCCAAGATCTGTCCCCAAACTTGTGGAACTGTTGTGCCTCAAGCTACTGAAATTCCAACACAACAATGACACACACCACAAATCTCAAGCTAGCCGCGCGCGAAAGTCTCCGCCGACCAGAACTCCACAAACGATCTCCATACTACATCCATGGCGTCAGAATTTATGAGAACGCTGTGCGACTTCGAGCTTCTGCTGCGCGCGGGAGGCACCAGCAAAAACGAGGCAACCTCGTTCTCGATGCATCTTCAACGAACAACAGCAAGCTGTATCGGGCTTCACCGTACACTGTACACGCCTTTTCGATACACGCACGAACCTAGGAGCTGCAGCTAGAAGCAACCGGCGAATGGCGCCTACGACGTCGTACTCAAGACTGAGAGCCAGTGCAAGGTGACTTCTTAGTCACTTACCACCTACATTGCCCGCAGAGGCACAGGGTGCAGTACCAAAAACTCATGCCGGTTCCTGCAAGCGACTGACCGCAGCGGGCGCCTGCTCATGCTCCTGGTCGCGACACACCCGACCAGTCTGAGCAAAGGCGAGAGGACCGAGGATCCCAGCGTTGCTTCAGGAATCTTGCTGCTGATGGACAGCTTCGACATCTGCCGCGCATCCAGGGTCCTCGCGGAGAGCTGAACTCGGTGAGAAACGAAAAATGCGACGGAAGCCCAAAAACTTGCACGGTGCGCCTCGGCCAACTTGCATTGGGCGACCTCACTTGTCCCCGGTTCACGTCGAAGGCCCTGCAATGCCACTGCAGCTTTAACTTCTCTCGACTGCCAGCGTCACTCAAACCATGTTTGCAAGCCAGCCCGCGGCACGTGAAAGACAAGGAGACATACAGGAAGAACTCCTCAGGTCCGTCTGCCGGGTGTAAAAGCCGAAGAGCCTTTCCTTTGCGAAGGTTGGCATGAGCCCTGAGCCAGAGGGTGGCCAGCCTGGCAAATACCACGGACGAGATCGCGCTGCCTTGTTGCAGAGTGGCCGATTGCCCGCAAAATTTGCAGTCGCGAAGACCCCTGGTGCCTCTTCACCGACTGTAGATACTTGAAGCGCTGGAAACAACATACAGAATATCTGGAATACTCAAAAGTTTTGAAAGGTAGTCAATAATAAGAACTTTGGAAAATGAGGATCCTTGGGATTATGACGGAGACATTTAGTTGAATACTGCATGTACGAAAGGGATATTAGGAATACCCAGAACATTGGGATGAGCAAGAGCAAATCTTCATGGACGCTTGTTGGCAGATACATGTTGCTACTCACTTTACCCATTTGGTTTCCATTGTCCATGCGGACCTAATGCGTGAAGATTCTACTTGTTCCCGGCCACAACAGTCCCCTACCAAAGAGGCCTCTGTTTTCTGGAAATCCAAATAGATTATGGTGACGCAGGGGGGGACAGCCATCCGAGCATCTTTTGGGCATCCTGCCGATGGCGAGCGGGTGATCTTAAACACTTGAACGCCAAGCTGCTGCCACACTGCTTTAAAGCCTATTGAAACAGGCAGCCTCCATGGCCATGACAGAAAGGGAAATCTCCAAAAATAGGAGGGGCTCATACACAAGCACTTCCCAAATGCTGTTGCTTGAGGCCCCTTGCTGTCTTTTGGAGAAGGACCCAATACTGACTACTCCTACGTTGGATTTGTCAAAGCTCCAACGCCTAGACTGTACTTGGATGTCAGCTACCTTGCAGTATCTGTACCCTGCAATCAAAACTGACGAGCACCAAAATCCGCGCATACTGCAGCTGTCGCTGCAGTGCATTCGCGATTCACTGAAAACACTCGTGAGATAAAATTACCAGGCATTTACTGGTACGGCAGTCTCATGGCACCGAGTCGAACTCACCACGGGCCGAAGCGTTGCTGCCTGGGGCGGGCTGCCTTCGTGGATGCCTGGAGAGCCTCAGGGCGGTTTCTCTGAAGCAGGAGCAGGGGACAAGCACTGAACCACAAACATCAATAGCAGCAGCACCTTAGAGGTGGGGTACCCCAACCCAAGCCCCGAAGTCCCCCCACTCAAAAACCACCCTTGAGAGCCTTCTCGCCCTGGGATTTCAATGCCGCTTGGGCCGCAGCCAGGCGGGCAATTGGAACGCGGAAGGGCGAGCAAGAGACGTAGTCCAACCCTGTCTTCTCGCAGAACTCGATCGAAGCCGGATCGCCTTTCTTGAAAGCCTATGAACCTTAAACTCTGAATGTGTTTTCTCTCTGTTTTTTTATTTTGCTTTACGGATGAATGCCTGGGTGCTGGCGAAGAACATAATGTTACCATGATATGTAGATAGTGATGGAGTAAATGATATGGTTTCCCATAATTTTTGAAAACTTGATTTGTGCTATAGCCTAAACTCCTAGTAACCACTTATATAAGAACCCCTATACTACTCTCCTATGTCATCCCCTACATAACCCCCTTCCAAGGAGTTTTCCACTATCGCTCGTTTGCATTCCACAGCAACAACACAGATATGCAAAAGGAAAGAAAGCTCTCTTTCATTCCACGACTAGAGGTTTTGACTCGGGCAAGAGCACCCCGTAAGGGCACCTTCAACATACAGTAAAACTACAAAATCAGATATGTTTTTCATGTAGTGGGTTTAGGGTTTGGGGTTTCGGGGTTTAGGGACACTTTGATCCATCAACAACGAACCCCAAACCCCACAACCTCAAGCTGTGTCACCTCCGTGCTCTCCGCAGATGCCCATCTTCATGCCCGAACGGCTGCGGCGACCACGCTCCACTGCGATCTGGATCAGCTCGCCAACACCCTCCTGGTTGGGGAGTTTGGGAGGTACTTCAGGGTATCTAGTTTTTCAGAAGATGGAATCTGGAAGGAGATGCTGCAAACAGATGAACCTTCCCTCTAATAAATGATGGGGGAAACCTTGTGGCCCTGAAACCCTAAACCCTCAACCCCGAAGAATTCGATCCTGGTCCAGGCTCACAAAGGGATCCTGCTCGACGATACCCTTTGCCTTGTACTCGGGCAGGAAGGCCCCTGAGTTGCCGAAAAACAGCCACATTTTATATATTTTTCTTATTTTTCTTTGCAACCCCGTTATTCCCAGATGTGTTGTTACGAACTCAGGAAATCCTCACATGTCGAACCTTAGGCTCAAAATCCAAAAGCTTGCGTTCCTGCGTCCTCCTGCCCTCCCACCCTCCCTTTCTCGTTGCCTCCGCCCCGCCTGCATCATCCCGGCTCAGGCCATACGTAGTCTGGGTCAGATCGTTGGTGCCAAAGCTAAAGAACTCCGCTTGCTCTGCGAGGCGGCCTGCTTGCAGTGCAGCTCGGGGTAGCTCCACCTGGCAGCGTGCCGAAAACAAAAGGTTTCGAGCTTACACTGTAGGAAATTGTGGGGGTTGGGGCTCAGGGTTTAATTAGTTTAATTGAAGCCTGACGGGTTCAGAGCTCCTAGGGCTGAACCCTCTAAATTGGACGGATCTTTTTTGGAGAAACTCCCACCATGGTCCCCACGCGGTAAGTGAACTTCATGCCCCGCTCCTTCTGAACCTGCTGGGCCGTTGCCTCGATGACTTTCTTCAGCTGAACCAGCTCCTCACTTGAAAGACTTCCAGCGTTGATTCACCTAAACGCTAGACCCTAAGCCGAGTAACGTGCGGTGTATGGCATTTATGTTTCTGGGCTTCCGAAACCATATCCCCTCTCACACACTCGGCTCTACAAAACACTTGCAAAGAGAAGGCTAGCCCAACAGGGTCTAGGGTTTAAGGCCTAGGGTTTATAGGGTTTAGAGACAGAATGAAGAAAAAACAATTGAAACACACAAACACATTAAAACAGTGCTAGCGAAAAATGTGCATGAACAGTGAACTACGCGCCTCCAGGGTCGACACCAAAGGTACCATGACCTGAGATGTTCTAAAAAGTCAAGGGCTCCAACGGAGGCCAAAGAGAGGGACCCTAAAGCCGCGAAACCCTACAGTAAACCCTATAGACCCCCCCTCCCCCCACCCCATTTCCCGCTCGATCAGCCCCAGTCAAACGTAACGACCCTAAATAGCCTTCAGGAAGAACCCAGGGAGTGCAGTTTAGAAGGGGAATTAGGGGAAGCCATGACCCTTGCTAGCGCGGATGCCTAGGGCGCCAAAAGGCTAGCAAGCGACCTCGGCCACCGGGGTCTTCTTGGCGCTGCAGCCGACCTCTGCTGCAGCCTCGAAGATGGCGCGAGCCTGCTAAGGCAGAGGCAGGCTTAGGTGAAGTTTCTGGGGATATAGAGGTTTTCGGTGCGGATGCCGAGGTGCATGGGTTTGACGAGGGTAGCTAGCATGTGACGGAAATTCTGGCGGGGGGTTGCACACACGAGAATTTTGAATGCCAGTCCCCCGCTCAGACTTCCGTGCCTGCATCTCGCAGATCTCTGGGTATGTAATGGCCAGGCGACAACCTCACGGGGTCGAGAGGGATTAGAGGAAGAGGCTTGCAAAAATTATCCTTTCCCAACATGAGGCCCTGCCCCTCCCATGTAATCCGCAACAAAATCATGGTAGCCAATCTGGGTCGTTAGTGGATACTGAGGACGAGCCCAAGCCACCTACATGTCCATAGCCATAGCCAAGACAAACACCCCGATTCGTGATTGGGGATATGCAGGCAAAAGCACTAGCGCGGCGACCTTCTTAGAGATACTGGAGTAGGGAACCTGAAGAAGGAGACCCCCAGAGGCTTTGGTGAGTTTTGAGTCTAGGCTTCAGTCGCACCTCGGTGGCCAAGCATGGGGTTGGCCTCTTGCAGCTCGCTGGCGCGGCGGCGCACGCGATCCAAGGGCACCTGAGTCATAGCTTGGGTACTAGTGGCAGGATTCGGCGTGGGGGAGAGGGGGGGGGGGCCTTGAGGAACAGAAAGGCGTTTGGGTTTCATTAAAATCAACAACTCAGCCACCTTCTCAAACCCTACACCCTAAACAATGATCCAAGGGCACTCCGGCTGCCTTTGCCACCAGGCCCATCTCGGCCTCCGTGTGCGGGATGAACCTAAGACCACACAGCTCCCTCCCTGGTGCTTAGCAGGGCATATGGGAGCAGATTCTAGAGGCTCTTGTGGGATATGCAGGGAATTCTAAAAGATGCACTCCCCTCTCTTCTGGGGGTATGCAGCCACATCCGGCAGCAAAAGCTTGAAGGACGGGCTTCAAGATCATTGCCACCTTCCATTTTACAAGTGTACGTCTCATGATACATGTCATCGTGCCTGCTAATATGTGAACAGATATCTATGTCATGTTGGTCCTTCTTCCTACTATCTGTTGCTAGCGATGGATGACGCAGATATGGCTGAAGACCGAGGGCTGTGCTCATGCAAGGGAGGGTCCAGCAGACGGACCGTCACCGGCAGACCGTCCATAATCCTGCAGTGTCCACAGGAGTCTCACAGAAGCAGCTTGTTCTGTTTATGCTTGTTGGGCTCATTCCTGTGCCAAAGATATGTACAAAAAGTGTATCCCATTGGGGTTGCCTAGGAAAACATGAAACAGCGAAACCAAAAATCTAAGAAGACTCCAAAGCTCCGAAAGAGCTCAGTGATGTCTTCCCTCTGCATAGCCAGAAGCTTGTCCAGAGCTGCCTGCCGGTCCGTCTTGTCCGATGCCAAAATCATCTGCCGCATTGCCTTACTGGATCCTGGTTGGGGGCAGCACATTTTTCCTTACACTGGTTCAATGCCTTGTTACTAGGTACCTCAGAACAGCTCAAACCTTACCCATTTTGATCTTGGTGCCACAATCCGGCCGCCCTCGAAGAACATGTGCTCCGTGCGCACCAAGCCGATGCCTTCGCAGCCAAACTCCTTTGCCTCAGCCCACTCAGGTTGCGCTGACATGAAGTTGTGCAGTAGGGTCTTGATGCATCCTGCTTAACCGCTCCCCAATCACTAAACCAAAAAACAACCCTTGAACCCTGAAGCCCGAAATCCCAACTAAGTATCAAGCCCACTCGCTAGTCAATCCTGCTACCTGGCCTGGCGCGCATCTGCCGGCGTTTCGGCATTGGCCCGAACCTGCATGGTGCGGAACTCGTCCGCCCAGGACATGACGGTGCCAAAGGCACCTGGGTATCTCAGGCTCAGGTTGAAAGGGATTGAGGGCCTCAGGGTAATTGAGGTTTGGGGTTTAGGGTTTTAGGGTTTAGGGTTTAGGGTATCTGGCTCAAATGGTGAGCAGTCATGTGGTTCGATGAGGTCAATCGCAATGACCTCGAGCAGTGCACTGATGTCCAAGAACATATGGGCGAAGCATTGCAACAGGGAGCTCATTCTTGGAAAAAGACCCATCGCCCCGTCATTCCGGAAGTCTCGCGCAAAAGCTTAGGGTTTCTAGTAGGGTTTAAGGTTTAGGCTATGTTAGGGAAGGAATCCAGGTCTTTGCTTCCAATGCCAAAGGCGCCGGAAAGCTGCGGGGGCACCGTGGGGACTTCTCCAAGCATCACCTCTCCCGTGACACCGTCAATGGTGACGAGCTGACCCTCACGAACGACCACATCGCCCACCTCAACTTCAGTTGAAATTATTGGTGAGGGGGTCAGCTTTCGGAACTTCTCCATGTTCAGGCTTCATGATCATCCCTACATCGCTACTTATAAGGATACTTACAACTCTTCAACCAAAAGAGCAGGGCAGAAAATGCGAATGGCCCTACAAATCCTTTTTCCGTGCCTATCTGAGGACTTGGTTTAGGGCCTGGGGTAGAGGGGATAGAGTTTATAGGATGTTGGTTGCAGGGTAGAGGGGATAGGATTAGGGCCCACCTGAGCTGCAGGGATTGAAGTGTTTTGAGTCTAGGAAGTACTCCCTGACGAGCTCAAACTCAGGAATTGCGAAAGGTCCAAAACTAGATTACCCTACTCCCTGTCGCTACCAAGCTAGGCGATTCTACTGTGAGTTTGGTAAAGCCCAAAATCCCACCCTCCAACAACTCCACACTAGATCTAACTTCCCTGAACCCCAAACCCCAAATCGCCACCCCTAGCTCGCCTCGAAGGACGCCGAGCTGTAGTCGACCTTCACCTCCCCAGCGCCTGCTACACAGGGCCGGCCCATGCCACGTGCCACCACAGCTGCGTGGCTTGTCATCCCACCACGAGTCGTCCTGAGGTTCGCGGTGCAAAGTATGACTTAGACGATTCTCCTGCCGATTTGGTTGATGTAGTTTGACAACCAACACATCCGATTGCGTCAGACCTCTGGCAACTTCCAAACCGTGGTCTGCCATGTAACGACTCTGGCAAACTACCGTGAAAAGGACTCAACAGCTTTGGAAATTGTAGCCTGGCAAATACTTCCTTCATCTCCGCTTGGACACTGCATTTTTGGTACATGCCCTGAAAATAATAACCAGGGGTCAGAACACCCTCGGCCGCATGGAGGCCGTGGATGTCGTCTGGGCTGGTCTCGATGCGAACCAGGATCACCTGCGGTGCGTAAGTGGGTTTATACAACCCCATATAAAGAACCCTAAATAGTAGTTTCCGTTTTCTTTTCCACTACCCCAGTATAACCCCATGTAACGCCGATATAAAGAAACCTTATTCATCCGGGGGTTTGGGCCTCAGGTTGAGGTTCTAGTGCTAACTGCTAACTTGCATCACGCACACACCAGGGCCTTGTCGCCGTTCTCCGACCGGGTGACGGCCTCGTCGGCCGAAAAGACTACCTTCCCAGCGGCTGCACCTCAGCTGAGGGATTAGGCACGGCGTTATAGGATCATCAGCAGAATGCTGGGGTTTAAGGGTCGAGATTTCAGGTTTGGTGTCGAGGGACGATGAGCGTGGCAGTTTCTCAGCATTAGCCCCCGCTGACCTAAGATGAGTGATCCTTGTTCTAAGCACGCCAGAGTTCAGGCCTTATTATGCTGGGGCCTCACTTCCAAAGCACAACTTTAGGAATCAAGATTAGAAATTGCAGCCGGGCCTGGCGAAGCCGGGAGGCCCTTGGCAATGACGGTCTTCTTGGCCTGCGCTTACTGTCATTGCTGAATCATGACGACTGCGACCACTCGTGGAATTGCTGCTACTACCATTAAGGGGCTTCAATGGAGACCAATCGCCCCCAACGGTCCTGGTATGGAGCCCGAATCAATCCCTAACCGGCTTTGCAGGGCCCCCAACAACAGTGCGCCATACAACAACACGGTCATAGGGTTGAAGGGTTTATTCTTTCCGGTATGCTTTTTGTTTAGCGGGTGTGGGGTTTAAGGGCGTACAAGCACAATGCTTGTCATATCAACATGCGTATACAACAACATTGCTTCTGTCACGCTAGTTCTAGCCATGTCCCCTGCACCTTGGAGTCCAATGTTGGGTGGAGCAGCTGGTCAATCAAGTCCGGCTTGAGGCGCATCAAAGCCTTCAAGGAAGGCTTGTCAGGGTCAGGGAAGTTTCGGCTTGATAACAGTTTGCAGCTTCGTGTTTGTTCATGCAGTTGTTGATACCCTAAACCCTACACCGCCTCAACAGTATAGACCCTAAACGCCAAAGCCAAATTCTGGCGTCCCAGCGCCATCCAACCCCCTAAGCTCTCGACGGAGCCTGCGATTTGCTGATCAGGCCCTCATTCGCCATGTCCACCGCAATCTGCAGGGCTGCATGGGCCGTGCGCTTCCCCGTGCGGGTCTGCAGCATGTAGAGCTTGCCTTTCGGAATCTTAACCGGCTCAGGGTCTGGGGTCAAGGGCATTCAGGGCTTATAGGGTTTATAGGGTTAAGGGTTTAGGGCTTTAGGGTTTTAGGGTTTAGGGGTTTTGGGCATTCAGGACTCCATTATGCAAAGCTTCAGGTGTTGGAATTAGGGTTTAAAGCTTCGCAACAAAGAGCGGCTACGTGGCCTGCCTTGCTGGATTGTAAACCTCAGCTCTGATTTGATTGCAAGATCGCGAAATCACAACAGCATTCAGCACTCAATGGCAGGCTAGTCATACGAAGAATTGGCTTGAAGGCAAGAAGCTCGATGTCCTGCATGTCCCTGTAATGGTTCTCCAGCTGGTGCCGAACGTTTTCCAGCTCGCGGAAGATCCCGGGCATCACCTTTCAAAAGAGGGCCCTGGAAGTTGATGGTGTCAACCACATGCTTAAGGGTTTAGGATTTACGCTCTCACAACTCGGACAAGCCAGGCGAGGTTCATGGTGCGTTTAGGGTTTAAGTTTAGGGCTTTTTTTTCCCTCTCGCATGGCTGAGGATCTATGCCCACTAGCGAGGTTGATGACGGTTCATTGGGAAGTGCGACTATACTAGACAAGGAATGATCAACTCCACTGCCTAGGCCAAGGGAACCATAAATTTAGGGCTTAGGGAGCAGACTCCAACACCAAAGTGGCAGCCATCCATATCGTTTGGGAAGCTGTGGGCAACCTCTGGGCAAAAGAAACCCTAAGCTGCTCCGGTGCATCATCAACAAGCTGTAGGTTGCTACCTAACATAACATTGCTTCGGGAACTCTTCACAGCAGCCTACGAGACACTAAAGCTTCGTGAAACATAGGCATGTCTTTAGAATTCTCAGTGCTGCTCGTATGCCCCTCTCAAGCCAAAGCACGGCCGCATCTTTTCAACTCCTTACGACTCTCATCGCAGTCCAAGAAGATCGCTCTGAAGCCCTAAACCCTAAACCCTGAAGCCTGTATGCATTCCCCTTGTGATCCCAGGAAACACCCATCGACCTCAAACCCTGACCCCAATGCCCCACGTGAATTTGGAAACAAGCCCACCTCCTCCAGCGACGGCAAGTCGCTGCCATGGGACTCGCGAGCCTAGTTTGGTGTTTGGAAGTTTTGGGGGTCTTGGGGTTGAGAGCTACAAGGCGCAACGTTTAGGTTTAGAGTTTAGGGTGTTGGGTTTTCAAGGCTTTTTGACACAACTCGTTTTCATCCCGGCGGGCTGTCGAAGGCTTATGTCTAGCAAGCCTTGATCGTCAGCTCCTGGGGTGTTCGGATGCCGGCCACCAC